AGCAACCGAACGTATATGAAACGAACAACCTCTTAATCACACAATCTTGAAATTTCATCCGAATTTGTGGATTTGAATTCCAAAATAGTGAATAAAGCAAGCAAAGGTAAATTAAACCAATGATCTCTTAATTACACGATAACGAAATCACACCCGATAATTTTGAACGTCACAAGGAAATTAATCCCTTGATAAGTTCGACCCGTTCATTGAAAAACAAAGTTTGAAAGGAGAAAATCTCAATACTTCATTATCAAAAGTCTTGTATTACAATGTAGAAAAATAAACCTATTTATACTAAAACCTAGAATAAAGTTTAAATGAATAAAATTCTAGAATACTTAGAAATCTATTAAAAATCGGAAATAGAGTCCTAAAATATCTAAATTACCAAAAATAAGAAATTGGACCAAAATAAAACTTCTCCAGATCACATAAGACCCTCCCTCTTCAAGAGGATTCGTCCTCGAATCCTGATCCAAGTTGTAGCCTTTACTTTCAATCAACTCAAGCACATAAAATGGCTCATCACCTCTCGGATGCAATTTGGACCTCTTTTGACATCGAACTCTCCTCTTTTGAATGTAGACCGATCACCCTTACACAGATCAAAGTGTGTATGCCTTGATGGTTTCTTTTTGCCATTTTGTGATGCTCCAAGAATGATTTCAGCTGATAAATCACTATCATTTTCCATGCTTTACTCGGCCCACGTGATGGTGAAAATATTACTTCCACTGGATGTATGTTTCCCAACATATCAACTTTGTAGCTCAACTCCTTGCATATTAATTCCTTCCATTGCTTTTGAAATTCCTTCGTCTCCTTAGGGATAACAAAATCAATCTTCGGTAATATAGTGATGTCCAAACTAGGATGTGGTTGTTGTTGAATTGTATCCACCATTTGGTAATTAATGCCCTGATTGTAAGGGATTCCAATCTGATTAATTTCTTGAATCGAATCTTTGTAAACCTGCAAAATAGAATTAGCAAAAATAGGGAGGGAAATGTTAGTGTTCACCAACGCTTCCTCAATTTTAAGGACTTCATGCAAGTTCACTCCCAACTCCTCCTTTACCTTCAAAGACTTCTTTACTTTCATCCTGTGACTCCACTTCCATTTTAACCACTTCGCCATTTTCAATTTCACCCCCGACTTTCTTTTCACTCACTTGTGGCTCCCCTTCTTTTTCCTCACAAATTACCACCTCAATATTTTCCTTTTTTCTCTCTTGTTCCTTTCGTCCCTTCAGATGATCAATTTGAGACCTAATAATGTCGAGAATATTGGAAAATTCCTGTTTATAATCTACCCCAGTCCTCTTGCTTGATGTACTACCCACACACTTCGCACTAGGTGTTTTCCTTTCCACTGGATAATCATCCCCATAGCATCTCCTAGGCTTCTCCCTAAATTCGACTTCTCGCCAATCTCTCCTATAATAATATGTATCCCTTTTCCCATGTCTATCGCCTCTATTTCTCGATTCCCATACTTCATCAATGCCACAACCATATCCATATGCATCACAATTTTTCATCTTAGGTTCCCGTCTTCTCACATTGAACCCCTCATCACATTGATCACTATGAATTTTTTTCAATTTTGCATCAATCATATCCATCTTATTCCCTATATTCTCAAAGTCGCTATCGAACCCACAGGAATTGACACCGGATTCCAAGAACGTCCAAATACGACCAAGGTTTAGGAATCGACCCGCAAAAGTGAACCAAGCAACCGAACGTATATGAAATGAACAACCTCTTAATCACACAATCTTGAAATCTCATCCGGATTTGAATTGTGAATAAAGCAAGCAAAGGTATATTAAACCAATGACCTCTTAATTACACGATAACGAAATCGCACTGGTAATTTTGAACGCCACAAGGAAATTAATCCTTTGATAAGTTCGACCCGTTCATTGACGAACAAAGTTTGAAAGGAGAAAATATCAATACTTCATTATCAAAAGTCTTGTATTACAATGTAGAAAAATAAACCTATTTATACTAAAATCTAGAATAAAGTTTAAATGGAATAAAATTCTAGAATACCTAGAAATCTATTAAAAATCAGAAATAGAGTCTTAAAATATCTAAATTACCAAAAATAAGAAATTGGACCAAATTAAAACTTCCCCAGATCACATCAGTTACACTAGAGCACAATCCTTCATCATGAACATTTTCAAAACTTTTTCAATGTAGGCCTTCTTTGACAATCTTCATCACCTTTTGCATCTGGCACTATGAATCATAGGTCAGTGACATAAGAGGCTTTACTCATATCCTTCATTTCAAAGTTTTGACTAGAAAATTGCTCTGTGTCATGTAATAAACTTAAAATACCATTTGTAAGTAAAATATCCCCTACATATAGAATTAGAAAAATGTATTTGCCCTCACTGACTTTAAGATATATGCATTGGTCAATAATATTTTTGTAAAACCATATGGAGTAACGAACATTGTAAAACTTCAAATACCACTTCAAATCACTTGCAAACCATGTGATTATTTTTCTCGCTAGTAAATACTTCACATTGTTTCATGTATATTTCTTCTTCATCTCTATTCAAAAATGTTTTTTCGCATCCATCTGTCGTAGATCTAAATCAAAATGAGCTACTAAAGTTATTATAATTTTAAGTGAATCCTTCTTAAAAATCGGGGAAAACAACTCATGATAATCGAATCCTTCATTTTGTATAAAACCTTTGGCTACATTTCTGTTCTTATATTGTTCTATAGTGTACCTCTAGCCATCTTATCCTTAATTATGCAGTAGAAAATCTCGCAATGCCAACAAGTCTTCTAGCCAAGTATACTTGATAACATCTTTACTTGATGGAACAGACAACAAACACAAGACTTTTCTTTTGAAAGAGAAAAACCTGCAATAATTTATGTACGGACTTGGCTAGAAACCTGTTTACATCTTAATATAAACACAATACACCATTTTTATCCATCATAAAAGTGGGTAATTTTTTCCTACAATAACTTCCATTGATGACTATACATAAAGTCATTTTAAGTAGTTTTATAAACTCATCATTTAGATATAAACATTAAGCATGTAGACCATATTTTGTTACAATGAAACATTGGCAGCATAGATAATTGCAGAATGCAATAGTTCAAGAAAGTCTGAATATTAGAAAATTAATTGCAGAAATTTTTCACTTTCTAGCTAGTTGCAGTAAATCAATCAAATACACGAGTTGCTTATTCAATGCATTTTTCGTCTCTTTTCCATCATTCTCCTTCATAATGCCGCCCAAACTCGCCTATGTCCTAAAAGATTTAAAAAAGAAAAATCAATAAAAATCGGTTGAAGAAGACCAACAATTATGTGAAATTAGGTACGACAGACCATGAATTTTTGAATAATGTATTGATGAAAAATGTATGGTTAAAAAATAAGAAAAATATTTTAAATTTACGTGTAATATTATTTTTTTGAAAAATGTGTATTTGAAATAATATCAAAATATTGTTTAAAAATGTATTTAAAAAAAAAAAAGAATTAAATAGGGGCTAAACAAATTAATTTGAAGCAATCCCAATGCAGTAACTTCAAATTTATTAATTACAAGTCGAGTGAATGCGAAGTACAATATTTTCTATATATAGTATGGACGGAAGTACATGGTACATTGCTACCACTTCAAGACTTGTACTGCATTTCTAGCCATTCCTACACCTAACACTCAAAGTAAGGCACATTCAACAAAATTTTCCCTAGAAAATGAAATTTGGATTCCAACTTTTAAATAAATGGTGTTTGATAGCTTATATTTACCATGAAATTGAATTTCTTAGATTTCCTGAAAATTGCACTTTTCCTTATTTTCAAGGAATTTGAATTCTCACCAATATGGCGAGAATTCAAATTCTAGTCTACTGTAGCATTTTATTTTATTTTTTCATTTTTTTTGGACAATAGAAATCAATTCTAAGAATTATTGTAAAAAAAATATATATATATTTCCATTTAATTGACAATTTTCATGTAAAATAAAGCCAAAAGAATACCAAAAGATAGGTGATTTTCTTGAATTTTTTTTATTTTTTTTTGTTGGCAATGGAAACAAATTTCATTCTCAATACCAGTAAAATCTATCACTTTAATTGAAAATTTTCATGTAAAACAAAGCCAAACAAACACCAAAAAAACTTTTATTTTAACATTTTTCACGTGGAAAATTATACCAATCAAACACAATAATTTATACAAGAAAATAATTTCTAGGCAATTCAATTCCCTAGAATTCGTTTTCAATTTAATTCAATTTCATCTTTGCAATCAAACGGACCCTAACTTATTCAATAGAGTTGATCTCCGACTCCCGTTCAAAGTGGACAAAAACGATCAAATGGTATTTTTTTTGGCTTTTTGAAAGAAAATTGGTTTTATTTCTTGAGTGGCAACGACGCATCAACAGGATACAAGTGGGTATTATAATTCCAACTCAATGTGGACGGGAGATCAGCAATAATAATATACTTCTAATCATTTGGTTCAAATTATTTTAAAGTAAAAAAAATGATAAAAGAAAACAATCTCACTTTTGAGCAGGAAAACGATGCATTTAATGCATTAAAATGTATAGTTTCAAAACAATTAAAATAAGATAAAAATAACATCTTGTTTGAGCCTTTTTTTTTGGTAAAAAAAAATACATTTTTAAATAATATTTTGACATTATTTCAGTCACAAATTCTTCAACAAAATAATATTATATGTAAATCTAAATTTTTATTTTTATTTTTATTTTTTAATCACACATTTCACATCATGATATTATTCAAAAATGCATTTTCTTGACATAAATAGGATTCAAACGAGGGTTACTTTCCATGGTCGAATAAGATTCCCCAAAAAAAATTTTAAAAAAAAATAATAATAATAATAAGAAAGAAAGGAAAGAGGGTAGTTCAAGAAATTGACATCTCGCGTCAAACGCACGAGATCGAGGCGAATCTTAAAACGTCCGATAGTCTATGAAAGTAGTACATACACATCAACAAATGCTGTACATTATTATATATGAAGGTACCCCTAAATTCTTCTCTCTCTTCACCCCAGAAACAAGAAATCAGCCAACAAACCCACAATTCTTGAATCAAAAGAATACTTGGATCAAAATGATGCATATGACCTTTTATTGGGGGAAAAGGGTGACAATCTTGTTCGATTCTTGGAAAACAGATTCATGGATCGGATATATAATTTCCCTTCTTGCATGCTTGCTTTTCTCTGTCTTCTACCAGTACATGGAGGACCGGCGGCTGAAATTTAAGCTACTCTCTCTCAACGACACCAAAAACTCCTCTTCCTCTGGAGGCGATGGAGGCGGCGGCGGAGGTGTCACTAGCCCTCTACTTTACTCAAAGACTGGTGGTGGGAAATGGAGTGCATCAAGATTTGCTGGGGCGATTATGTTTGGAGTAAACTCAGCCATTGGCTACTTTTTGATGCTGGCAATCATGTCCTTTAATGGTGGGGTGTTTATTGCGGTGGTTTTGGGGCTGGCTGTTGGGTATTTGGTTTTTAGGAGTGGTGGTGATGGGGGAGAGTTACTGGTGGCTGATAATCCATGTGCTTGTGCTTGATTAAAATCTTGAAAATTCATGATCTGATGTTTATGTTTTAGATGTAATTAAAATCACATGTATTATCCGAATCATATTTTAAAGAGTTTATTTCCATTTTCATGATTGGATTAGGGGTTCTGATTGATCTTTTTATCAATATTTTGCACAAAGATTGAGATTATGGACTCCAGCTGCTGCTATTTGGATTAGTCAACAAAGTTTGATAAGAAGGATTAATCTTCTTCTAGACGTCCGGTTTCTCAATGAGAGTCATTTCAAGAAATGCTCACTTCATAAATACCCTCTTCATATTAATACATGCTGTGTTACTGTTAAACTATATGAAAAAGTTTAATGACCAACTTGAAATTTTGCACTAACACGAGTAAAACTAACTCTATTGAAGACATAATTAATCGGGAAGTGGTGACATCTTTCATTCTTGATTCGTAGTTTCTAGTTGAAATTATTTATTTAAAATTTTGGGCTAATTTGTATTAACAAATTCAATTTTCGACAACTATTGATCAAGGCATGGAAGATTCTTTTGGCCGCATTCAAGTTGAATGACCTTGAATGGGTTCCTTGCTTGTTGAAGGAGAGTGTTTCTATTTTCCTTATTAAGTGGGTTAAGATCAGGAATTGGGTACGGTGACAGTACTTCAGGAAAATTTCACAAATACTCTACCATGAAACAAAAAATTTAAAAATATTGAGGTGCCAAAAAGAATTTGAAAAATACTGTGTTACTTTTCATTACAGCAAAAGATGACATGATACACCTAAATGCATTTCAAACAAGATAAACAATGTACACATAGCTCGAAAGGCAAGCTGTGGAAAAACTCTACTCAGCCTTTCGAGTAACTAATACCCTGTTAATGTACAATCAACAGTTCATCCTAGCTCTACGTGTCACCTCTAGGACTAATGACAACATTTTCTACGTATAAACAGGCAAAGCTATATCCAACCAAGCCGTTCAGCAGGGTAGGTGCCTTACATTATGATAGGACAGTAAATGTTCACTTCGGTGGTTGCACCAGAAACTGTGCTGAAGGATATTCTGACAAAAACTTTGGAACCTCTATATCTGAATGATCTATAGCAGGAATGGCCATATAAACATCTTCAGTTAAGAATGGAATGCTGCAACAGAAACAACGAACGAAAACAAGAAAAAAGTCAGAGAAATATTATTAGACGATGTTCCAGGGCATCTTATATAATATGAATTAAAGGAACATAAGCCTCTAGTCATGATGCGAGATAAGAGCTGCGTGCCATCCTATAGACAGGTCCTAATGTCACTAGACTATCCGAAATACAACACTTAATGATGACCATAATTTGTTTTCCTCTTGTGACATACAGTGGTTGGAAAAAAATCAAGTTTATTTGGAATTTTATAACTAGAGTTATATGTGCAAGTAATACACAATGGGTGAAAAACTATGACTCAGAGCGGTTGACTTGATTAAGGGTGTCTAGAAAGGTGTTTATGAACAGGGATAAATGAGCGGAGGAGTGGGTAGTACTTGTGGATACAACGAAATGTGTGATTAAAAATTGGCTAGATCAAAATTTCTTTTGACCAAGATGTTCATAAAAACCTAGAATCACTTATCCAAACATATGCTAAGAATTTATATTAAGAAAATGAAGTTCCATGACCCAATTGAAGTGCAGGGGCCATGAAGAAAGACAGTAGGTAGGAGGATATCCGCTCTCTTCTATCTGACAGGTAAAGAGGGAGGCTCACGCAAGCTGGACGGATCCCCCATGTAGGGGATTGATCGTGATGCTACTTTCTTCTTTCTACCTTTGCTACCAAAATTGATATATAGCCACCTCTAATTTGGTGCCACGCTCCAAGTAATGACCATAGACTCAATGAAATTATCGCAACATACATCTCATTTCTCAATCCTCATAATACGAAACATAAATATCTCATTTCTGATAATACTAAACATAAATCTGTCACGGGAAATAGTAAACTATTGCAATCGAGATGATAGTTTAAGCTTCTTACCTAAGATCATCATCCAGTAGAAATGAATTTGATGATATATTTTGGGAGTCCTTATTTACAATCTCCCTCATCTGGGAAACGACCTGGCAGAAAAGGAGGGGAAAGAGAAAAAAAAGGCAGCTTTATAACTACATTTGACACATAATGGCACCAAATTCTTTAAGCTTTTCTGTTTCTTATCCTCAGTTGTCAAAGGCGGCCAAGGGTATACCACGGGGAAAAAATTAATGCTATAAAAACCAGCCCCTTTAGATCTGCTAAAAGCTGAAGAGCTCCATAGTCCTAGGGGTGAAATTGTCAATAAGCAATAACAAGCTAACCACTTGCCTCATTTGACACACTTTGAGTCCCATACTTATCATCCCAATACATTGTACTTATCCGATAGATTTGTCTAACAGTCAATGCCTGCCACAAAAATTGGGAGGAGAAATGAGCATGGATAAAGGTCACATAATGCAAAGAAAAAAGCGAAAAAAGAGGTTATAGCTTAAGCTACTTAAGAAGGTCATACCGGACAGAGATCCTGCCTTATCTCCTCTAAAGATTTTTTCCTCTTTTGATGTATTACCTAAATGGTTAGAAGAGAGTTAGTCCAGAGAACTGCACATTAAAAATTTGAACTCTAAAGAAGAATAAAGCAGCATTACGAATTATTACCAGAAATCCAACAGCTTGACGAATGTAATTTAACTCATGCCAAGAGGTTCCAGCAAACTACAGTGAATAATAACTCAGACCTGTACGTACATACGTATGCAGCACTACTGATTTCATTCAAAGAAAAAGAGTAAATTTGTAAATACCTCCTCCTTCGCATTGACTATCCATTTTTCTAGTTCCGCCAGTCCAGATTTTACGTATTCTCCATTTGAAAATGTGCAGCATTCTCGTCGAAGGAGAAGGCTGGCATGAAAAATCACAAAATTAAGTGTATTTTGGGTTGATTTCGTGGAGGTGGTGTAGGTTGAGGGGAAGAAAATGGGAAGGAAACCACAAAATTAGTATGTACCTGTTAAACAGTGATATATTGATGAAAGAGAATACTTGAGTAGTGAGCTTCCGTATGAAAAACGAAGGAACCTGGAAATGGATTACGTTCACAGCAAATCAATAATGAGAACAGTGCTTCTAGGGACCAACTTCAAAACAGATTTATCCCCAGGCATACAAAGCAACTAACAAGCCTCAATTGCCCCAAAAAAATGCTACAAGAAACCAAATGTGTTCAGAGAAAAACAAAGTGCACAAAATAAATATATTAAACAGACTCAATTTCATCATTCTTTTACACGGAAGACAATATTACATCTTTTACACAACTTCATGCAAATATCCACGTCATCTTTACATTTTTTATATGACCGTATTTAGCTTTAAGGATCAAAGCTCAACAAGTGCATAATTTTTTTGTAAATAGATGAGGAATAGCTTCAGCGTAGGATCTTTGCACGCTCTGATATCCTAATGAACCACCTCATCTAAAAGCTATTAGAGAGGGGGCACATTTATTTATTCGACTTTTGTATTCAACAGATATTGAAACGAGAAGAGCAATCTAGGAAAAATTGTGCGGAAAGATTATAATTTGGTGTTGGTATAAAGTTTTGGGGTACTTTGGATCAGAAGTTGACCTGCAATCATTCAAGTTATGTCTGTAGATCACCATTGCAGATCGCCATTTCATGACAAATATCAAATTAATTATCTAACAATCAAATATTATTCACTGTATTTTTCAACCATTTAATCCAATGACAAAACAAATTAGACAGCATACAGAAAACAAAGTGAGGTATAGTCTTAACTACTGTAATAATGGCAGCAAGGAAAAAAGTCACCCACAAGAGGGGTAAGTTTGAGAACGGTTCTTTAAAATATCATGCAGTTGTACAATATACTGCGCTTTTTTCTATTTCAGTTTATAACAAAAAAATTCGATCCATCCCATGTTCAAAGCATGCTTAAGAAAGCTTTGATTCACCCAGAGAAATGAACGAAATAAAAGATACTGCTCTATAATGCCCTATGACGTGGTTTATCCTATGTGATATTGCATGAACGAACTTTTGTACAAAAATAAATAAATAAATGATGTCACAAGACAAAAATGTAATGTGCTTACATGATTTGCATGTAGACGACTCATAAGAGAATCCAAGAATTTGATGATGCCATCCCATTCGCTGCTTGGTGACTGCTGAGGAATAGCTCCAGGTGATCTAGATGACCTTCCACCATGCACTCGTTGATTTTTTGGTGCCTTGAGAAACCCCAGCAACAATAGATCAACCAATTAGTAAAAGTTAGGCATATTTAAGAAAGGGAAATCTTCGGTCCAAACAAAACTTCCAACCGAAAAACTTGGTACAACTGAAAAGTATATTAACCAACTGTAAAACTGATAGAACCTCAGTTGCTGTAGCTTAATTGATAGATGCCTTCGCTGGCAACAAATGGTATATAAGATGATTAATTGAACTTCCAAATAACAGATAAGTTCCAGGGCTATTAGAGAGGCCCGTTCTCTCCTATTTCCCTGAACAAAGTGTATGGATGCCCCTTTCGACTCCTTCCTCTAATACATTTATACTACTATTTCTCCCCTTATTTCCCAAATTACCCCTTACAACTAACTTGAATTGGAACACTCTAGAATATGGCTAACAAACTTGAATGAATAACTTGGGGGGCCTATCATTACTCACCCCCCTAAATCCACCTTGTCCTCAAGGTAGAAATTTATGAATTCATCATACAACCACATAATTTTCCTTTGCAAAAACTTTGGTCGCGATCACCGCAGAAACAGGATGTTTTGCCCTTTTGAAATGGACGGAGTTACTCAATCGAGCGATTATCATAAGTACATTATCCAAGGCAACTTCATAGCCGATTGCATCTACCCACAAAATGTCTAACTTTTTTAACACAATGAGCCGTCATGAAATTGGTTGCTTGGTGAATTGAATACGGTATCTAGGAAGATAAGTCCGGTGGGTTAGGATTGCTATTTAGGCTGAAATTATGGGGACTTATGCTTGGGCTGTAATTGAATTTATATGGGCCTAAAATAGTTTGGAACTTTAGAAGGGTAATTGGT